CCCTGCTGGGCACCCAGATAGGTCCCATCTGTCTGCCCTCGAGCAGCTCACGGTCACGAGGCAAAGGAATAAGGGAGTACAGCCATGTTGGTCAAGGGCAGCTCCTTCCAGGGAGGGCCGGAAGTGTCCCCTGGAGTACAGAGCTCTCCCCCAGGACCCAGTCCACTCTGGGAGGCATCCTCCATGTCTCCTACTCCCACTCCACTCCCATACATGACTGGGGTGCACATGCTCAGAAAGTCTACCTTCCTCCCCGGCCGGGTGGCTCAGCTGGTTAGAGCATCCTACCGACATGCCACGGCTGTGGGTTTGATCCCTGGTCAGGGCACCTACAAGAAGCAACCAATGAATGCACAAATAAGTGGAACAACAAATTGATGTTTCTCTCTCTCTCTCTCCCCCTTCCTCTCTCTCTGTCTAAAAACAAACAAAAAAAGAAAGTCTATCTCCACGCATCACTGTTTTTACATTTCAGAAGCTCATGAGCGAAAGCAATTTCCTGGAAGAGGTCATTTTTTTTCACGCAGCAGAGTCCCGACATGAAGCCTCCTTACTGTGATAACCATACTCTTGTAGAATTGGGTTCGACTTAGAGTAGATAAACCTCTAGACCTTGAAAAAGAATATCATTTTGTTTTCACAGCTGAAGAAAGGAGGCTGCAAGACTGTTGGTGCGGGGATGAGTGAAGTGGCAGGCTGTACTTGGCACCAAAGGCAACTGTTGCCTCAGACTCGTGTCAAGGTCACGAAGTTAGAAGTCAGTCCTCAGGCCCAGGCCACAGGCACCCACCTCAGCGGAGCCGCTCAGCCTCTCCGTGCCGTCTGGCAACGTCTCGATGACTTCGGAGTAGGACAGGCCCAGGGTCTGGGCTGTGACGGTGTCCTCTGAGCTGGTGCAGGGAATGCCTGTGGAGCGGGGAAGAAAGGACACAAAACGCCTCCTTTGCAAAGGCCCAAACCACAAGACAATCAACAGCACCGACACGGCTTCAGCTTCTTCAGGGAGACGCTGCCTCTTTTCATTACAGAAGCTACAGAAGCTCCCACACTCGCTGGAGAAAGGGACACCCTCTTGGAGAAACCCACCGCCCTAGCAACCCGGCCACCATCTCGGTACTGTTTCCTTTAAGTCTTCTTCCTTTGCTTAGTTTCGTTTCAAAAATGGTTGTAATTCTAAAATATACAACCTGGGCCTGGCCAGCGTGGCTCAGTGGTTGAGCGTCGACCTATGAGCAGGAGGTCACGGTATGATTCCCAGTCAGGCACATGCCCGGGTTGCGGCTTCATCTCAGTGTGGGGTGTGCAGGAGGCAGCCGATCGATGATTCCCTCTCATCACTGATGTTTCTATCTCTCTCCCCCTCTCCCTTCCTCTCTCTCAAGTAAATAAAAAATATACTTTAAAAATACACAACTTGGGGTGCTTTTTGCCACTGAAACAGTACGTCACAAGTCTGGGGTGGGGGGCTCTTCTCTGAACCCTCTCGGTGACAGAGAATAGTGTGCTCTCGGAGAGGCAGGCTGACTCCTCCCGCTTTGCCCGGCACCTGGAGAAATCCACGCAGCCAGGAGCCAGAAGCTGGAACTGTCTTTTCATACTCCTCCATTCCCAGAGGCGAGAGCACATTGTGAATAGACATTTATTCTTCAACCCACACACCCCTGAGGAGATGGAGTCGGCATGAGTTAATCACCCCTCCAGAGGGCCATGGCCTGCTGTTTGGGCGTCAGCGGTTCATAAAAACAGGTATTTCAGCTGACTGTGGAGGGCCGGTGGGGGCAGCATCCCTGGCCTCTACCAGCAGCACTGCCCCAGGTGTGACAAACAAAAAAATGTCCCTACAATGGCCAGGTGTCCCCTGGTGGCCAAATGTCCCCTGGCTGAGAACTCCTGCTGTAGGGACAACGGTCACAACTGCCGCCACCCTCGTGGGCCCAACACATCTCGTGGCAAATGAGACAAAGCTACGGGCAACACACCTAACACTCAGGTCAGATTTCCAGAACGGCCTCTCCAAGCCCTGGCCTACGAGGTTGAAGTCAGGTTCGGGAGACTCGCTCGCAAGCTCCTTGTGAGACGGAAGCTCCGTGGCTCCTGTTCCCGATGAGATTACTGACAACCAGCACCTCCTAAAGCAAATGAACGTTCACACTGGACCTGAACGCTCCTGGCGGGTGAGGACACACGGCCAGCAATGACGTGCTCGTGGTCAAGAAGGGAAGAGTCATTATCCCACGTGTGCGGACCGGAGCGGCTGGAGCAAGGCTCGCGTGCAGGTGCTGTGCCAGGGAATGTATCTGACCAAGGAAAAATGCGCTGGGCCGGGGTGCTGGCCATGGTGCTGGCCACGTGGGCTCAGGACACGGCACTGTTTGTGAAATGCAGGTGAGACGGCAAAATTACCGCTTCGTCTCTTGTTGGATTTCTGTTTCAGTTCTTGGAGGGCAAGAGGCAATAACTCAGAAAATGTTAGTTATGTAACTGTGGGAAATCAAGACAACACAGGAGAAATGATTTTCCCAACAGACCTAAAATATCAGATGTTTTTTTCTTTCAGACACTCAATTTATGTCAGTACTTTGACTCAGAATACAAAAGGAAAAAAAAAGCCATGCAACAAGCGCTGCTGTTATTGTTTATCATGGCCAGTTGTCTTAATGAATTTTACTAATGATAAAACTCATAAAAGGAGGAGATATTTCCTTTAACACGTTTTCTAGGCTTCAGCTGTCAGAAGAGAATGCCCTGAACGGCTTAATAGCTGTGTTCTGTGTGGGTGTTTCTTCAAGTCACTTTGTCAGAAAGGAATCTGAGAACTGTGCGGAAAAACATGATTTGATAAGAAATGCTATTTTCTCTGTGTGCCAGGAAACAGAGTGAAATAGCTTTCTCTGCAGGGTCTGGCACTCCGGAGACCAGCCCAACTACAATAGGGATGTGGAAAGAGGCGTGAGGGCAGCCCTCGGGTGGACTGTCTGAGGCCGTGTCCTTGGTTCCTCCCAAGACTTCCTGTTGGATGTGATCGTTTAGAACGCTCATGGCTCAGCCACTGTGGCTCAGTGGTTGGGTGTCAACCCCTGAACCAAAAAGTCACTGGTTTGATTCCTGGTCAGGGCACATGCCCGGGTTGCAGGCTCAATCCCCAGTAGGGGGTGTGCAGGAGGCAGCCGATTGATCCATGTTTCACTCTCATCGATGTTTCTATCTCTCCCTCTCCCTTCTTCTCTCTCTAAAAAATCAATCAAAACATAATAAAAACAAAAACAAAAACACAAAATGCTCACGATGAGTAAGGCTGACTAGGATACCCATCTTACCATTCTAAATATGCCTTCCATTGTGCTGCTGTTTCACGATCCTTTTCTTGAATGGCTCAAGCTCCCCTCTCCTCAAAGCCCTCACCAAAACCCCAGCCCGCGTGGATGGTGTGTGTGTGGAACCCCATCTCGGAAGCTGCCATGGGTTCTGAGACCTGAGATGGGATTTTCGCCCGAGCTGTTCTGTTCCCCACGTTGTAGGTACACGTCTCACCAACTAGCTCTGCTGGAAAGATCCTCGGGCCAGACAGCTCTGATTATTCTCAATAGCAACTAGCAAGGTGCGATATACCTGATGTTTTCAAAATGTAGTTCTTAAATAAGGGTGATTAAATGAAGGGGGGGCATTCACTTCTACAAAGAGGCAAAACGGATCATGGCACCAACAGTCAGCTCTTTCATTTGATGGCAACAGGTTAGAATTTTAAATCTTTATCGTTGAAAGTATTACATATGTCCCCTTCCTGCCCCCCCGCCCCCCCCGGCTTCCATTGACCCCTTCTAGCCTGCCCTTGCCCCCACCCCACCAGGCCTTCACCACACTATTGTCTGTGTCCATGGGTTATGCATATATGCATACAAGTTCTCTGGTTAATCACTTCCCACCCACCCATCCTCTCCCATCTTCCCTCTGGGATTTGACAGTCTCAGTATTTTTACTTTAAGCCTGATAATACATGATCCCAACTACATTTTAATAGCTACTTACCTATTTTTGAATCCAGAGAGCCCTCAAATTCAGCGTCGGCCACGATGACGACAGGGACCTCCTGCTGGGTGAGCATGTTCACAGCGGTCACGGGCGTGAGGCAATCTGAAAATGAGAGTGGAGAACTGTGGGTACAGTCAGAGGGCCGCCTGGAGCTCAGGGGAGACTGGCGAGAAAAATAAGCCATAGGACGTCCCTGTTTTGTGCTTCAAGAATTTCTTCTTTGAAGGTTTTAATGGATAATTCACACCAGCGGGAATCAAAAGACTAAACAAATACATGAAAACGTTCATCCATGCTCATAACCAAAGAAGTGAAAATGGCATTTTTACTTTCCACCTGGAGGAGAAAAGATGCTCCCATCACCCCCCTTTTCCTTTTGAAAAACACCTCAATATACTGTTGAATGAGCAACACAGAAATCTACCTGTGGTAAAACTAGGAGACGTCTGGAATTCCAAACCATCGCACGTGAAGATGGAGTGGGCCAGAGAGCAGAGAATGACTGAGCAGAGAGAGTTCCAGACGCACAAAGACAGAAGTTTCTTCCCACATTCCCCTCCTTAGGAGATGCAGGAGGACGTGTTCCAGCAACATGAAGGGGTCGGTCACGAAAAGGACAGACCTGGGATCCAGCAAACAGCGGATCCCGAGAAGGAAAGAGGTCGGTTATTTGCAGAACAAAGGCAGAGGGAGGTCCTAGAGGACAGGGTGCAGCAGAGGCCCGGAGGGCGACCAGTCACAAGTGAGCGGGACATAGGGCCCCAGGCAGCCTCTTCAGGGTAGAGGGGGAACCAATACAGGTTGGAACATGCAGAAAACTGCACCGAGAGGAGCTTTAAAGAGCTTCTGGGAGGGTGTGGGAAGCCTTAGAAATTCAAAGAACACAAAGCAAATGAATAAAATGAGAACATAGTGAACTTCAGGAAAAACAGAAAGTTATATAAAAAGGAAAATGTAATCATAGTATCCTTGGCTCAGCTGCGAAGATATTCATGTGGTCATTATCAAGCACTTCATTTGAAACTATCTGTCTTAAAGGAAGCTGGTTACAACCGCTGCAGCAGGGCGACAAGCCACACGCACACCAACCCTCACTGCATACACATGGGACTGGAAACACGAATAAAGACCCAAAGGAAGAAGGGGCGAGAGGAGGAACTCAAGTAGTCAGTTCACTTGAGCTTCTTTATTAAACGGTTGGATTTTTTTCATCTTCTACATAAAAATTCTGTTATGATAGTTTTTCAATGAGAAAAACAGTTGGTCTTTAAACTTAAATGTCAGCAGATATGCAAGGATTACACAGCAGCAACCTGCATGCTTGCCACTCCTGGTCAAAATCTGTTTCTTCAAAAGAACAAAACTCAAGTCTGAAGTTCCTGATCAGGTCTCGTTTTCCCGTATTTCTCCTCAATCCTGTGCCGGTGGCGTGAAGCAGGAAGGCAAGGAAATCATGGAGAGACCCAAAGCAACTGAGGCGCGGCCCACGGCAGGTAGGCAGGTAGGTGACGCTGACACTAGTGATTACAGAGGGAACATTCCGGGCAGAAGGGCGCCCTCTGCTTAGGGCAGGTCCTTCACTCCCTCACGCTTCCAGTGTCCAGCAGAGCAGGGGGTGCCCGCGCAGGGATCCCCAGGGGCAGTCTGTGGAGGTGGGGTCTGTGGTCACTAGTGTGACCAGGGCTTCCTCTCCGAGGCCCTTGCCGCCCACATCAGCACAGCAGAGCTGCCGAGAGGTCCAGGGAAAAGGAACCCGGTGACTTCGTTTATTGCAGGGTGTGTGGGCACAGCAGCTCTCCCCTCCCTGCCACCGCCCACCGCCCGGAAGCTAGCAGAGACAGTTTGGTTAAAGAGCAAACCAACCCCATGCTGCCGCTGTGAGGGAGGAGTTAGACGACATGAGCAATTAATTATTCAGCGTTCTGGGGCTCTGTGTCAGTAACAGCCCTTGAGGGAGACCTCATTTACCCTCTTGGCAAAAGCCTGCGTTGTGCAGGCCACTGGTGACTCAGAGCTGGAATGTGTGGTTCCGAAGCCCCGGGGTCTGAATAATTTAATATCAGGAATGTGGGGAAAGCGCCCAGAAGCCAGGACAGCTTCTAGAACGCTGCCCGTAGTTCCCTCTTGATGCTTTTAAAAAAAACTTATCTTTATTGTTGAAAGTATTACAGATGTCCCTTTTCCCCCACTGACCCCCTCCGACTCTACTCCCACCCCCCCTTCACTGTACTATTGTCTGTCCATGGGTTATGCATATCTGCATACAAGTTCTTTGGTTCATCTCTATCCACATCCCCCCCACCCCCGAAATATGTCCGTCTGTTGCATGATGCTTTTCATGGTTCCTAGTTCCCATTAAGTCAGGGCTCATGTAACATGACTCAGTCAGAGGTGGTCAGCAAACTCGGCTGTAAGAACTCTACAGGGAGGGACCTCACTTTTTTGCCTTCTTAAAGGAATCTGTGCCAAACAGCCCAGTTAGTCAATAATCAATAACATCAGCAACCCAAGTCAGAAATCAGAAAGCTGTGTCTGACTTTGCCACCTTCCAGTAGCTCCCAGAGCTGTTCTGCACGCCCCCACCCCCCCACCCCATGCTGATTACCACTGTTACTCGGTCTTCACCTGCTCTTAGTGGATGGGGAAGCTGGCACTGCTGCCTCCACTCTGCCAGCCCAGCGCCACCCTGTCCAAGTGTGTCACCCCCTTAGAGCCAGTCACAACCGTGAGCTGCCATGACTTTCAGTGGTCACCTGACATCCGAGGAAAAACAGAGCCGCCTGGCAACCGGAGCCAGTTGGTGATGGCAAATGGCAACGTTCAGGTTTAAGGTGTAGCCTCAAAGGCCAAGGGAGGCCTAGAGCCATATTCACACGATCATTTGAATTCACCTTTTGGGAAAATTGCATCCTACTCCAAGCAATTTGGCCTTAAGTGACGAACGCCACAGCAGGTGCAAATTAACCTAGGGACTTTGAATAAACTGATATCTGCATAAAGAATAACTCCACTCTGAAAATGAGAACTGGAAAACTCAGAGCCAAGTGCAATGTTCCAGTTGGAATTATTTCAGGGATTATTAGAAAGAGGGGGGAACAAAGCTAACGAGTCATTCGGTGCCAAAATGAAACAATCGGACACACTGATTCCCAAATGATCACAAATACGCTGCTCTCTGCATTTGCAAATGCACATGAAAATGTTTTCAATGTACGTAGCGCTCTTCAAGTCAGGATTCCTTCTCTGGTAACTTGCCAGCTCACGGATCCCCTATTAATATCACCTCCTTTTAATCTGTGTCCCCAAATAAACCAGAAGAAAACAAACCTAAGGGCTAGATGTTTACATTGTTCAGTTTTTCAATATTAGGTATTATTCAACCACCATGGCCCCGAGGAACCTCAAAATGCTCTAGAAGTAAAATTATGAGTTTTCCTTTAAAAGTGAACAGTTGAAAGGGTCCCAATTTTTTTGAATAGAAAAATAAAAGAGAGATAGGGACATTGGACTTTATGAGCACACACTGAAATTTCAACTCAAGAGAGTCATTTCTCGAATTCAATATAAAACAGCAAAAGAGATGAGACTGAGTTATCTGTGTCTTGCGCCAGAGTGGACTACACATGCATCTGGCCGCCTCCACCATGACCCCTGTGAACGGTCATCTCTGTGTCCCCGAGTGCCTGGCGTGTGGGCGGGCTCTCAGTCAGTGGTCCCTGCCTTGCACCCTGGCTCTAAGGCTGTACGTAAACGATCAGGAAATCTGAGCTGGGATGACATTGTCTATCCTTCCAACCTGATGTCAGGAAGTCTTTCATTCTGGTTACCTAAAGAAGAGCAATTAAAATATAAAAGTTTTGAGCCTGACCGGTGTGGCTCAGTGGATAGAGCGTCGGCCTGCAGACTGAAGGGTCCCGGGTTCGATTCCCGGTCAAGGGCATGTACCTGGGTTGCGGGCACATCCCCAGTAGGGGGCGTGCAGGAGGCAGCTGATCGATGTTTCTCTCTCATCGATGTTTCTAACTCTCCCTCTCCCTTCCTCTCTGTAAAAAATCAATAAAAATATAAAAAATAAAATATAAAAGCTTTGTATCACCGTCCAAAACATTTTAGTTAAATAAGCCAAACAGATCCCAGTGATTGACTGTGTGTTGCAGTTGCTACTCTAGAAATATTTTTACAGAAATATTTACATTTCTCCAGAGACCTCCTTCTGATCCATCCCTCCGCCAGCCAGGATCCATCTCCCCTTCCTCTGGGAGGAGCCTCTGAGTTTGTTTTGCAGACCCCACCTTCCTCACTGGGTAGTCTTGGTGGTTTATCAGGGAAGGTCCCTGGCCTTCCCTTGGCCACGAAAAAGGCCAGGGACCCCCGTGATACTGATCAGACACCTTTCCCTGCAGCGGGAGTCCTGAACCACGTGCCTCAAGCCCTGAGGGCGAGGGCCCGAAGATTCCCACAGTTCAAGAGACAGAACTAATTCCTGCTGCACAAGCTCCCAGGGCTGCCGGTCCAAGTCCTCTTCCAGACTGGTTCTCCAGGGGTTCCTCCGGTCAGCAAGCTCCTCACAGCCTCCGGGAGGCTCCCCTCTCCCTCTGGGTTAGCCAGAGGCGGCTGCTGGCTGGCAGCCACAGGCCCCAACGCAGTGGCACTCCCCAAATCCTCACTGACCAAGCATATTCACTATGCCAACTGCAGGTCCGCTCGATCCAGTCACTCAAGAGCTCTGCTGAGCAGGACTCTGCTCATCTGCTCAGATTACTATGTGAATCTGTTAAAGTAATAAAATTAAGTTGTTGAAAATGTTGCCTCCAGTTCTGTGACTTCCTTCCTGCCCCTGTGCGTACAGTTTTATTTGATGACGGAATTATTAATGAAGCAGAAGATTCTATTCCTATCAGAAAAGAGCTGTAGATCCAGATTCTATTTAAAGGGAATGCGTTGAGCTTCCCGACAGAAACTCAAGAAGCATACAATCTAGTAGCTCAAAGTGAAGCCAGGGGGGCAACTTCACATGTTCAAAGCTCTTTTGTAATCCTCATGCCTTAAAATAAAAAACTAAGAAGTCAGGCCGAGGTGAAGACAAATCCCACAAGATGACATGTGAAAGACAGTGAACTTTGAAACGCGTGAGGCATAATGTAAGACATGATCCTCCTCCGTCTTAGCCTCAACTTGTCAACTCACCTCTGCCAGGGACCAGTGCCTTCCGCAAGGCTTCCTTCAGAGGGCTGTGCCCGTGTAAGAGCCTGTGGCCGGGAGTGACAGCAACGTGGGACGCGCCATAAATGGCCTCGGGGGTGGCCGTGTAGGCGGTCAGCTTCTCTCCTGTGACTTGCCCGTCCACCTGCCAGGGGGAGAACAGAGTAGTCATTCCCTTCTCAGTCCTCCCTCTGGGCTACTGTGCTCCCCAACCTCATCCCCTTCTCCCCACTCCTTCAACCGCAAATAGTGGGGCCAGCTTCTGGCCACAGCCCCAGGAACTGGGGGTCAGAGATGGACCCGGCAGGGGCAGAGGAGGGCGGAAGAGGAGGATCACAGCTCCTCCTTCAGACGCCCTGCCTGGTGCCCACCAGCAGGCCCACTTGGGCCCGGATCGAAGATGGTCAGAGCATGCTCAGAGAGATGCCGTCACAGCTGGAAATCTCACCACCTGCTCGGAAAAGCAGTGGAAGCAAACGCCCATATCAGGGTCTGATTTTCAAAGTTTTTAAAGCACACACCCTCTGTCTGATGGGGGCTCCCAGGTCTGAGGCCGGAGTGAGCTGGTCATGTGGGTGAGGACATGGCACGGGAATGGTGAGCTCAGCGACAGGCAGCAGGTGCTCAGTGGACACCAGACAGGCTGTCAGGGGGAAGGAGCCTGGAAAGGTGGGTCAACTCTGTCTCCCGGCTGCTGTCCCCTCTAAGGTTTTGATTGGACTGAGGTGAGGGAAGGATTTGGAGCTCAATGAACTGGGCAGGCAGGTCTTGATGGAGGAGGCGACATCAGAAGGATAAAAAAGAACACCCAGGCAGGAAATGGCAACAGAACAACTTTCCAGCCAGCAGAGACAAAGAGGACAGTTCGAGGGGACCTTCCAGAGCAGGTGGGCCTTCAGCAGTGACCTTCGGAAGGTCCCCTCTTGTGGATCCTTCGGAAGCCCAGACCCTAACAGCTTCACGTCTGTGTAGTACATGCGTTCGTTAGCCTCAGCTCCCTGTTTTGGGACATGAACCCCCTTGAGGATACAGTGAGAGCTGTGGACCGGCTGCCTAGGAAGTGCCCACACACACATTCTGCACTTAATTTCAGGGAGTTCATGGACCCAACAGAACACCCTCTAGATCTGTGCTGTCCAGCGTGGTAGCCAGAGCTACGTGCAGCCGCGAGCACTTGAAATGTAGGTGCCGTAAGAGGACAACAGCAGGATTTGAAGACTTGGTACTGAAACAGGAGTGTTAACAATAGTTAAACACTTCATACTTTTTTTAAATTGCTCACATCTTGAAACAGTAACATTCTGAACCGAATGGGTTGAATAGAACATGCTATTGAAATTAATTTCACCTGTTTCTTTGCACTGTAAAGGTTGTGGCTACAGGGAAATTTGAAATTATGGGTGTGACTCGCGCTCCTTCTGCTGGACACGCTGCCGTGGAGATCCAGGTGCTGGGCTGGTCAAGGGGTTGCAACAGAGCAGAGCGCCTGGCCAGCACTGACTGCTGGGAAGGCTCCGCCGCTCACCTTTAAGGTGAAGTCCAGGTGGCAGCCCACACAGTCCCCGATCCAGTGGGCCTGCATGCCTTTGATTCCATACCACTCCGGGAGGTCTGCCAACGCGTCCCGCATGGCCTGTAGGGATGAGAGAGAACGGAGAGCGAGATGCACAGGTTTGGGAAAGTGAATGATTCGGGGCTTGCTGAGGAAGGACTGGGGGGGGGAAAGGGGGAGACACGGGGGGAGGCTCAGGAATTAGGCCTCTTCTTGTTCATCTGCCAATCAGAGGGGCCCAACAGAGGTGAGAAGCAGAGGCACTTGCTCATCAGGACTCAGTTTCATGCGATGGGTCTGGCAATGTCTCTATTCATTGGGGGCCTGGGCACATGCAAAGCAGGATGTGCCAGAGGCCCTGACATGAAGGTTAAATATAGTCACTCCCCCTTATCCATGGGGGATGCGATCCAAGACCCCAGTAGATGCCTGAAACCGCAGATGGTGCAGAACCCAATATATACTATGGTTTTTTCCTATGTGTACATTCCTATGATAAAGTTTAGTTAATAAATCAGCATAGTAAGAGACGAACAACAATAACTAATATTAGAATAGAACAATTTTAACAATAAAAGTTGTATGAATGTGGGCCTCTCTGGTAACTGAGCCAGCTAAGTGACTAGCGGGCAGGTAGCGTATACAGCGTTGGACAAAAGGGATGATTCACATCCTGGGCGGGATGGGGAGTGACTGAGCAAGATTTCCTCGTGCTCCTCAGGACAACAAGCAATTTAAAACCTATGACAGCTTACCATTTGCTGTCATAGGTTTTTAATTGCTCGTTGTCCTGAGTAGCATGAGGAAATCTTGCTCAGTTATGCTAAGTGAAATAAGCCAGTCAGTGAAAGATAAATACCACATGATCTCACTCATTTGTGGAATATAAAGAACGTTATAAACTGTTGAACAAAAATAGATAGAGGCAAAGAAACATCGAACAGACTGTCAAACTACAGCGGGAAGGTAGGGGAGGGTTGGGGGGAATAAGAGATCAACCGAAGGACTTGTATGCATGCATATAAGCACAACCAACAGACACAAGACACTGGAGGGGAGAGGGAGAGTGCGGGGTGGGGGGAGGGGGGTGAGGGGTTGGGTAAGGGAGGCCAAGGGGAGGTCAATGGGGGGGGGGAGACATATGTACTACTATTTGTAATACCTTAAATAATAAAATAAAATAAAAATAAAACCTGTGACAGCACCTGACGCCTCTCTGTCCCCTGCATTGCTGAGCCTCGCTGATAAGCCCTCTGGGTGAGTTTTCCTCTAGGTTGCATTGTCTAGGGCTAGGCTGGGAGACTTCTTGTGGAGGTGCTTTGCTTAAAATATTCAGATCTCAGAGAGGACAAAAGATTGAACTAGAATGAAATGGGAATATTTTGATATGCTAATTATGGGCGAGAGAAAAACCCTCCTGCTTAATGCCTTGCCAAATTTATGAAATTTTTTAAAAAACGAAAGCAATTTAAAAAGAAACCAAATGAAATCAACATCTTGAGAATAACCCAGCAAGCCCTCTTTAGTCCCCACTGAGAAATGAGCATTATTCAGGGCTGGTTTTTGATGAACACCTGCTCTGAGCAGCCTCTCCCTCATCCCAGGCTGGCCCTGCTCCACCAGAACAAGAGGGTGGTGAGTATTCACAGCCCTACAGTTGTTTGGTCTAAAGACCTGTTTTTATTTGTTTGTTTGTCTGATTTAGGTTTTCGGTGACATGACAGCCTGCCTCCATTCTTTGGTGTTGCAATGACAGTGGTAGTACACGGGATTCAGCTCCTTTCATGCCCTTACATTTGGCAAACAACTGGCAGCGACTCCCTCCCCCACCCTGGCCAACCTGGAATTATGGAAATCTTACTGGCTCACAGAACCCAAACACCTTGGGAGAGAGCAGGTTTTGAGACTTTTTTAAAGGGCTCTAGAGTAAATGCCTTTTCAGGTAAAATGGAGGGAACCCAGCATGTGAGAGCCGAAAGCCGAGCTTTGCTGGGAGATGGCCTGTGCTCTCGCCGAGCCTCTCCATCAACTGCCGGAGCTTGGGCACAATCTGGAAGCCATTCGTTTATTCAGCTCCCTCATTTAACAAATGGAAAATGGCTCGCTCAGCCAAGTCAATGGCAGCCCAATATCATGAATGATCTAAGTCTTCAGATCAGATAAACTGTGCTCAGTTTCCTGGTCTCTTTAGGTAAATTAAACAAAAGATAACATCTTCCACATGTAAAACCTCGAAATTAATGATGTAAGTGGGCTTCTCGTTCCATGTTTTACAAATAATTCCTGCATTTAATGCTCATCTGAAGCCACATTATTGTGGCTATTGTTGAGCATTTAGAGAAATCCTGTGGTTTACAAAAAGGCCTCATAATCACGTAGTTGCGATCGGTCTGCAAACACGGCCCCTGCGGCCCTGAATGTACCATGTGGATGAGGATGCTGTAAGGAGTTGAACTGAACTGCATATTACCGAGTCTGACTTATGAGCCCATGTTTAAGAACAGGAAGTAGAAGGAGACAGGCTGAAGCCCACGTCCAATCAAAAGAGGCTTTCGTAACACAAAATATAATCAGGAATAAGAAAGAGGAAGATTAAAATGAAAAGCTGAGGATAAAAAGAGGGTTAGATATAACCTGGCCAATCAGACTCTTTCTTCAAAGACACTGAAATAAGGCCAGAAATAAGTCCTTACTTCCCCAGGGAAGACCGTGTGTGCACTAACGCATTAACCACCACATGCGACGGGACCACAAGTGAGGCTAGAAGTGGTTTTTAAAACATGACACATTTCAGAAGACCTTGGATGAACAAATACAGGCAAAATGAGAAATCCAGACCTTTTAAAACCATTAGCTTAGATTTATTAGCTCCCATGGGAGGGGGAGAGGCTGCAAAGCCAGGACCTGGAGAGCTGGGCATAGATTTGAGACAGAATGAAAGAGACAAGATGAAATGGGGAGACTTAATTAAAACGGGTACTTTTTAAAAGCTTAACACTTAGCCTCCTTCTGAATCAGTGTGGTTTGATTAGCAATTAATTTTCTATTACAATCTGTATGTTTTTTCTAAAACGTTTTCTTGTTGCCAAGATTTCTTTATTCTTCTTTAAAAAATCATTTCAGTGAATTCACTCTAAAAGCACAGTGTAGATTTGAGTTCTAATAAAGGAAAATCAATTCCGAAAGCAGAAAGATGTTTAACAATCTAGATATCCTCTCTAGAATATGCTAGAGGAATAAACCTTCTCTCATCCTAGCCTCATTCCCCTGCAGGAAGTTAGGCACAAAGATTTATCCATTAAAAATCTCATTTGGCGGGATGTTTACCTCCCTCTGACAGCCCTGTGCTAACTTCTCTTCTGAAATGTTTTATGTATGTCTAGCGAAATCCATTTGTTATGACTCTCGGTGCAAAAGATTTATTTACAAATACAGTTCGCTCTTTTTTTTTAAGAATCTTTATTGTTGAAAGTATTACATATGTCCCCCCTTTCTCCCCCATCGACCCCCTCCAGCCCACCCCCACCCCCGCCCGGTTGGCTCTCCAAGAGTGCCAGTCCCAGTGAGGGGCTACTAACCCAGAAGGGCAACAGCCACGTGTCAGCGAGGAATCCTGCTAATGAGGTGAGCCTGGGCCACAGGCGCAGGCTCGAGGGGTGGCAGGGGCAAAGGACAAGAGGCGCCCACCAGCCCACACGGACAGCAAGTGCGCATCTCAGAGCCACGCGAAAGGGCTACCGTGTAGCTTCCCAGCGGCTGGGAGGATGGACGTGCCTTCTGGGTGGGGCCGTCAGGGTGGCCCCGCGTGCATGCTCTGTGGGAGAGCATGTGCAGAAAGGAACCCCTGCAAGCCAGCGAGGCTAACCTCTTCGTACCCACCTAGCCCATGTATTCACGATGGCCACACTTACCAGCCCTTTCCCACCCCTTCCCACCGCCCTTGTCAGCGGCAGGACTGTTCTAAGGCCACTGACTTCCAGGAGACAGTGCTGGAGGTTCTGAAATGTCACCACCACCCCTCCTAACGACGCAGATGACGGAGGCCAACACCTCATCTCACTGCCCGTGGCACCCAGGACAGAGAGAGGCTGTGCCTGCACCCCACCATGGCCTGAAAGGGCAGCTCTGTTCCGGGAAAGAATAAAGTGGAGACAGCCATCCCCGGGGACAAGCTGCTCAATTGCCTTCAGCTTGGAAGCTTGCCTACAAATGTAAAGCTTCCAGAACATAAGACCATCCTTTCCCAGACTCTCGGGTCTGAAGACGTGTAAACCAAGGCCATCGCAACCCAGCTATTAGGCTGCTTGGTTCTGTGGTTCTCAAAATGACAAGTTATCATGAAAATTTTGGAAAAGACAGAAAGGATGAAGAAAAATACCAATTACACATGTCAACTGAAGCACCCAGGGTGACCACCATTAATATTTTATTTTGTACCTCCCATCTTCCACTGACGCTAAGATGCACGTTTCCCCACAAGCTCTGAAACGGGGCCGTGTCTTGCAGTCAATGGTGTCTTTGATTGACAGCATTTTTCTTTCTCCGTGGAGCAGAACACCTAAAACCAATGGTGTTAGAACTGAACAAATACAGTAGGAGTGTGTGTGCCTGTGTGCACGTTCTTACTCAGGTAAAACCATGCTCTTAATATATTCTTTTTAACTAGAGCCTGCATTTTACCAAGGTTTGTAACTTATCACAGTCCTGGAAATGATCAAGTCTCTATTTTGAGCAAAGCTGATACTAGAGCTGATTACCTGGAATAGTCAGCAAACCACAGAGACATGGGAAGGTGCTGTGGGACACGGTCCCTTCTAGAAGAGCAGACTTACTTTGAAAACAAAACAAAGTAATATGGAGCCATACGTATCTGTTGTGACTGTTTCCTTAACAGCATCGGCGGCCACCGGCTCAGTCTCCTGCTCCCCGAAGGCCCCGGGATAAGGATAGGGCGTTGGGGCGGAGAATAATGATGCAGAACATGACCCAGCTCCCGCTCCGAGAGGCCAGCAGGCCAATTCCGTCAGGAACAAACTAGAAACTCGCGCTTGCCATTACCGGCCTTCTGTGCCCGCTCCCGT